AATATAAACTATAATATGTGTGCAAAAATATTAGGGCAACCTCACACGTGCGCTTGGATACACGTGTGCACGTGCGAGCGTGCGTGGGGCACGCTCGCACATGCGCTTGGACACACGTGTACACGCGTGAGTGTGCGTGGGGGCATGCTCGCACGTGCGCTCAGACACACGTGTGCACGTGTGAGTGTGCGTGGGCCACGCTCGCACGTGCGTGTCATGCGTTGTGTGAACCGGGTTGAACCGGAGGTTCTACTCTAGAACCGGGCGGTTCTCGATTTTGTGCTGGAACCGGCACGGGCTGTGCCGGTTCCCGAGTCGAACCGGGCGAGTTCGGTTCGACTCGCCGTTTTTTAAAACACTGGTCAAAACCATATATGCTCAACAAACATAGTCGAATTAGTTCTGACATGCCTTAAATCAATATACAAAGGAAGACTTGAATTTAACTAATAATGGTGATCTTTTAAGTTTTCTTTTTCAGTTGAAAAACATCATTGTCGTCCTCGCCACCTTGGGGTGTGGTTCATTTTGTCCCCACTTTTCTAATGCATGTCCACTCCATCTCCTGCCCATTGCATGTCTTTCACCCCACTCTTTCAATTGTATCAACACTTGCTCAAGCCATTGGAGTCTGTGATCTTTGCTTGCATCTTGCCTAGTGTGTATACTTTTCAAATTCGATACAAAATTCCGAGTCCGCATACTGTCTTTAGCTGCCTATAATGTATCTATTTTCCAAATTTGATGTTTTAAATTTGATGTATCTATTAGGGACAGGGTGCCCTCATCAAAACTGAACCCCTTCCCCCCGCCATATAAAAATATAACTAAGCAGATCACTTATGTATGTGTTGACTCACACATACATACATATGCATGCATGCATATAACATTTGATTATTGTTTCATAATTTTTTAAATAATCTAATGCTTGAGTTCATGCATTGGACACGAGAATGTGCACCTGGTGTGCTTGTGCCTGCACATGCACATATGTCTCCATGAAGTACATTGTACCCCATGTTTTTTTGACATTTTATTAGTGATGTGCACCCTCCAATTCTGTATTTAAATGGTGTGCCCTGCATATTTTTGACACAAAACACCCCTTCATGTGCTATAAGACATTTTGGGTAGGGTTCCTTCGATTTATCATCTGCTGATGCAGTGATCAAAATTCTTTGTAATGGATCATCGTTGCATGCTAAGTATTGGTTGTCTGTTTCAATTGTATTTTGACACATGATGAAAAATGGCCTCACAAGAAATGTTTTACATTACATAAGAGTATGGGGAGTCTTGTCAAAACTGAGTATCTATTAGGTTCACCATTATAGGTCTGCAAGTTAGAACACACAAACACACACTTACACACCCTTCATGTAAGTTGACTGATACATTTTGTATTGAGGTCAAGAATTCGAAGTTGTTTCACTTCCTCGTGCACATATGCATGCATTTCTCTATACCGGAATATACTTGTGAATGTATTATGAGAAAGTATAATATGATCATGATAAACTGGTAATCAATGGTTGAAAGGGACATCAGCATCCAATCAATGGGACGGGTGGAGATGGAGGAGGGTGACCGAATTTGAAATATCTACATGTTTGCTGGGACCCACTTTCCTCTATTACCACCCAACCCATTGAATGAACTGTGGCAACCCCTATGATGATACTGTTACCATGATCATATAAGCTAAAACACGTACACTTTCCCTTACTAAGGGCACCATTAGCGGGGTGCAAGTCTACACACTCTTACACTCTCTCATATATAGATCGTTATCGAGTTTTACCGATTTCATATATCTAATCGTCAAAGTTTGTTCACTTTTATCCTAGTAATACTTTCATTCTTGATGTGCAGTTCTCTTCTGGTGTTGCAAAGCAAGAGCGCCGACTTGTCCAAGCATGCCATCTCCTCCACCAGAAAGCCCCGAATCCTCATCACCTTCGTCAAGTCACTTTCCAAGAGAGAATGTGGGGGCGGGGGCCCACGAATGCCCGGCCCCCCTTCTTTTGGGCCTTGGGCTTCACCACCACATGGGCCCATGGGCCGTCACCCAGGGGGTCCACAACCCGGCCCTCGACCCCAAAAACAATACATCACAATCCCAACAACTGGTGTCTTACCAGCCCCCCCAAGTCCCCTCTTTATGGGCGCCCCACCTCCAGTGGGCCCCCCACCTCCTTCAGTACCAGTGCCTGTAGGTCCTGCTGCTAGCTGGCCGGCGTTGCCAAGACCAGCCCCACCGAGGATTCAAGTGCCAGCTGGCACCGGTGTTTTTTTGCCTCCTGCAGGGCCCACGTCTGGGGATGGTGGTTTCCCAGCAGGGGATGGAAGTTTTGCAGCAGCAGAGAGCAGTTTTCCTGCAGCTGAGAGCGGGTCTGTGGAGAGTGGAGGATCATCAAATGGGAAGGCTGAAGGGATTGTAAAGGGTTTAAAGTCTGAGTCGAATGGGAATGGTGCAAAAGGGTTGAAGAAGGCAGCTTCAAAGTGATTTTAAGCAATTGGAGAGTTTATTCCCCTTCTTTCTTTTTTTTTCCTATTAGTTTTGGAGTTTATTCGTTCCTGAGGTGTAACTCTCTCTCTTCCTTTTGTTGTGGTTTCTGTTAATTTTATTTTTGTTTTTATTGCTGAGGGGATTGTGCTCGAAACCTGGTGAGGATGGGAAAAATGTAAAGAGCGGGAGAGTGAAAGCGGCTTTGGCTGTCCCACGGAAACTTGTTTTTGTAGCACGTGAGGTTCGCATCCCTCTTTTTATTTATTTTGTTTTTGGATATCAGAAATCTCAGGAGTCAGGATGATGCTTAATGAATTGTTCTGGTTTCAGTGCCGTCTAGATCTTATTTCATGGTGAAGTTATCTGGAGTGTGATGTCGTTAATGTGACAATGCGTGTGTGAGAGAGGGCCCGGAGCGCCCTAGGGGCTAAACTCAGGGGAAATGAACTCTCACATCCTCTCTCTTCTCAGATTCATACCCCACGAATTGCTCTATCCTTTGTAATAAGGAGCTCATAATTACTCCGATGTCAATTAACGACATACTTATAATACTTATTACAAAGATAAGTAGTCTTGTAGTAAACAAGCTGAGCTATAAAAATATTCCTATTAAGATTTATCCAAGGAAGAAAATAGACAGTATGCTCCTAAGAGAGCAGCATATCTTTCGGCATAAAATAAATTATTACATACCATAAGACCTTTTCTTTTTTCTTGGCATCAAATAGCAAGTAAATCTTCTTTTTTCTTGGCATCAAATAGCATACAAATCTCCCTCTCCCTACTTCCTAAATGTATTACATTTAGGCAAAACTTCCACCAATTGGGAGCAAATATCTATCCCTCTCTCTCTCTCCTCTCTC